TACTGTAGGCTTTGATTATGAAGCAAAGCTATCCAAACATCAATCACAACAAGGTAATGCATGCTATTAGTATATTATAATCTTAACCATATACTTACCCAGGAATTCCTGGATGCTAGTTCCAATCCTCTTTGGAGGGTCAGGGAAAACCTACAATCGTTGACAAAATCCTTGGACCATTGCAGCGAATTTCCTCATTTTAAGCAACACCCGCAGACCCGCATTTCATCCCCCTGACCTCTTAAATGCAATGTTGTCAATGATCATGTTACCATAGTACACAAGCATTCAAAACAAGGACCAACATTGATGAAAGGGGGCTAAGGGGGAAAACTGTGAAAAACTATAGGAGAAAAATAATAGGCTGGAGACAAATAATTGTACGGTCCAAGGTATTTTGGCAATGATTGTTGATTAATTCTTGTCTAACGTAATTTTATAGGCTAGGCCTGTTTACTTGCTAAGATACTGTAATTGAATTACAGTCTAGTAATTAAAAAGAATAAATCATAAAACACAATCATGTACTTGTAAGATCACTCAGACTGAAAGCCTTTTTTTCTACAAAAGTCATGGACAGTTCGACGTGTAGTAGAACTCACAGCTGTAGGACGTTTTTATTCCTTGCACACTTGCTTGTGTTATTAGCTAGTTACACTAAGGTTTGCATGGATTTGGACTGATATGCCATGCCATGGTTTGTTTATTAAGGTATGTTGTTTTTGTTTAGATTATGCCAAGGGCTTTGGTGGTAAATATGGTGTACAAAAGGATAGAGTTGATAAGGTGACTAACAGCAAACTACATGTACTGCCACTATGATTGGCTGTGTAGTTTTCAAGACGACAATGACATTCTATAGATTAGGTTTTCTTTGCTTAGCAAGCAGCTTGAAAGAAGACAAAGAGGCGTTTTTAACTTATCTTGAAAGCCACGCCCCAGTTGTKGAAATCACGCTTTATACGTATAAAGTTCGGCTGCGATTCCATGTTTTGAATTTCTTTGAATCTCAATTACGTACKTTTTACAACACATAATTGRAGCAAACGACGTTRTTTTTTTTTCTTTTTACAGTCTGCAGTTGGGTTTGACTATGAAGGCAAAACTGAATCTCATCAATCTGCTAAAGGTAGGACTATTAAACCGTCGTGTCGAGGATAACCCACTCATCAGTTGGGATTTCTYAGTATTCACACCGTGATAAAGGGTCGWGTATGGTGTGTTCCATGGCTGCCACTCGACAGGCGTTGTATTTAAGTACTAGTGTTCTGCGTGTCCATTAGATTTATCAGTCCTGACACTTGTACATGTACTAATAAAGCATTGGAAAATATTGAAAATATTTTTTGCGCTATTTTTTTTTTTGCTAATATATTAATGTTTGCGAAAACAACAAAAAAATGCTGGCCATAAAAACGCTACACGCTGAATGGTGCTGTTYTTTGACACTAGATTATTCAAAAGGCTTTGGTGGGAAATATGGAGTACAAAAAGACAGAGTCGATAAGGTAAAGACTATTCCATCCTAACTATGATTATCGTTGTATTGTAATTTGTCAAACACTATAGCCTTTCTTTAAGGTAAATAATTTGCTTGTTGTTTAGTCTGCAGTTGGATTTGAATATGAAGGAAAAACGGAAGCTCACAGATCAACCAAAGGTACAGACAATTAACAAACACAGATCTTCATTTTCTTCAAAGGGTTGATCTATGTCCTTTTGTTTTGTTGCTCTCGTTCTAAGCAGTATTTCGAATTATTAATTCCTTGAAGCGAGATYTCTTGCAAAAGGTTCTCTCCGTTTAGACAAACAGACCGGTCCACTCAGTCAGTTCTCAAATGTTTTTCAAAAGAGGCATGAACCAGCTCTAAGAACTGACAAACTTGCTTGTCAGTTTGTCCAAAGGGAAAGTTCCCAACATGTCTGTKTTCTGTAGATCACTCCAAGGGTTTCGGAGGCAAGTATGGTGTGCAATCAGACAGGAAGGACAAGGTTGGTTGTAAATACCCGTCGTTCATACGACCATTTCCTTTGCTTGTTCTTATTGATTGCTGATTGGTTCTTATTGTATCATTTAGTCTGCGGTGGGCTGGGAATACCAAGAAAAGACTGAAAAGCATGAATCACAAAAAGGTACAGTATATCATGACAAAGTTAGTGTGGTTTTCTCAGAATAATTTGTGGAAAACATATTCCACATCGTTTCCAATGAGACCTATTTATTGAGAGTTTCACATTCCAGATTATTCAAAAGGCTTTGGTGGAAAATATGGTGTTCAAAAGGACAGAGTTGACCAAGTAAGCATTAAACAACTTCAAAGCACCTCAAAGAAAAGTTATTCTGGTTTTTAATATTCGTTTATCCACGCTAAAGTGTCAAATGATTCTATTGCTGCTGACTGCTAATGGTCCATGTTGTATCATTTAGTCTGCGGTGGGCTGGGAATACCAGGAAAAGACTGAAAAGCATGAATCACAAAAAGGTGCAGTCTTAATCGCCTTTAGTAATTTTGTTAGAGATGGTTTAAGCCATCAGACTTCGGGTCTACAGGCTGGGTTCGTTTCTCAGACTGGGTGAAAATGTTGTATCCTTGGGCAGGACACTCGTGTTCTCAGAAAGGCCGTACCACCGGAGGTCTCGTCTYTCTACACTTCACATTATAGCAGCGWAAAAGAATYCACATCATYATTCGACCAAGAATAGGGGAGTTTACGGTGTTCCCGGTTCAATGGTCGCATCTCTCTACACCGACCAGCATTGATGTCGGTTTGKCGTAGTGTTCGTTGTAATACAGCTATTAACACAATGGACTTATCCACGCGCTATAGACGCACTATCACAGTCATGTTGAATCGGTCTTTTTTATAWACCATTACATTATCTGTTTCAGCATGTTATATTTTTGGAATACAMTGTGCTCTCCCATTAGCTGAAATATTGATAAAGGCTTTATTTCTGCCTTTCTAGACTACTCAAAAGGCTTTGGTGGCAAATTTGGTGTTCAAAAGGACAGAGTTGACCAGGTAAATGTTTAATGCTCGCATGCCAACTCCAAGAGCAGTGTACTCTATCACCTGCGTACGCTTGCATAGGCAATCTTCAGCGACGCCATCGATGGAATTAATTTGGCTTTCTACATATAGTATTTGCCAACAGCAGTTTGTGCTTTTCCTTTGCAAAAAAGGAAGTTATAGTCGTGCTCTTTCTTGAAAGAAACACAAACACAAACATTGTTTTTGACGTTCGTGTATGAAATCGAGTATTTCCTATCGTGCTTTGGTGCGGCGTCAGTTCACATTGTCCATTAGGGAATTATCTTCCTTATTTAGAAGCACAAACCACGAATACTATAAACATGTGAAAATCACCCGATAACTGTAATATATCACTATTTCTGATCGTTAAAGCGGTTGAATGCTAARGGGACTTRCTCGATCAGTGGYTWTATAACGTGTTATTGTGTCATTTAGTCCGCGGTGGGCTGGGAATACCAAGAAAAGACTGAAAAGCATGAATCACAAAAAGGTACTGGTGTCGGTATACATAGTAATTGTCCATTTCTGGCCTTTAGACTTCACATAGTGTCACGAAGAAAGTTATTAGTGATACTTTCGCACTGATAAACTATATCTGCATAATTGTCATTTCACATNCGGTACTTTGTTGATGCAACAACTCAACCGGAATACATGATATAGCAAATATGAGAGCAATCGTTAATCATAATATAACAAACACTTTTCTTGATTGCTTTTATAATAGAGTGCTGGTGGATATGACGATATGCAAGAGGTCAAATCAGAATACCATACTGCTAAACCACGTACAGGTCGGTAGCAGCTAGACTGATTGTTTATGTAGAGGATATTACATGGGCGCGCGGAGATACGGATTTTATCTTCGAGTGTTGAAAAGAGAGAATTTCAACACGAGGAGATAAAATTCGTATCTCCAAGCGACCACGTATAATATTCTGTTTATCATATAATTACAGGTATTATATGCATCATAAAACAAATTATATTATAAAATACCTTTTTTCTTACTTCCACTATATAGAGAAACCTCTAATGTGTTATTTTCACCAGTGAAATACAATGTTATTTTCACTAGTGAAATAGTATCAATTTTACGAAATGGAGAAATATAGGTATTTCGTAGATAATTATATGATAAAAAGAATGGTTGCATGGCGCATTTAAGCTATGTTAGGGACGCAGCATAAGAAAAAGTGTGATAGTCAAATAGACACAAAACGAAACCATGKAAGTTAGGGTTAKGKTCAGGGCTCAGTTTAAGARACTTGAATRYCCYCTCSTCTCATTAGCGAAAAGTAGGAGTAAKTTAACAAGCAATCRAACATWAAYACGCGCAAATTTGAATCATCGCTTTACTGTTGCTGTGGCTTATACTGAGTTATAGAATGAGATTCATTTTGATTACTTTTGAAAATATCCAAATTTTTCAGAGTCTGGTTCTGCKGGTGGTCTGAGAGCAAAATTTGAAAACATGGCTAAAGAGGGAGAGGAGGTAAGAAATTACATTGCWTCTTTCAATTTCTGATATTAAATGTATGCAAGGTTCGTGCTGCTCCTTGAARTCCTTGAAAAACTAATACTTATTTTCATTKTCACTTGAAAAGACCYCGAAAAAAGGAAGACCCCAAAAGAACTTCTAGAATACTACTTGTGTCTTAAATATGTTGCTTGTTAACGTTTTCATTGAAA